GGGGAGTGAAGAACCATGAGTTCTATATAGAACCATTTTATGCTTAACCCCTTAAAATCCTAGACTTAACTACAGGGACTTCAATGCAAACTGGTTACGTTATTCTTGGGTTGTGGAAGCGCGTAATAAAACTTTTAAGGGGTAAAATGATTCTTTAGGTTGATACAGAATGTGTAATATATGGTTCTATATAGAACCTTTTTGAAAATGCTTCTATATAGCAACAAATAAGGTCAATCTATAGTTACAGGACAGACATTGTAATAACAGAATAACCCTTTTTGGTGCTATTTAGAACCATTTTCAAAAGGTTTCTATAGAGAACCATATACAACACATTCTGTATCAATCTGAAGAACGATTTCACCATGCAAAGAACCATCTGAGCATAAAATGGTTCTATATAGAACTATAAACCATCTTGTATTCCAGCCTACTTGCTGTAGTTCACCAACACTCATATTTCACCAGCATAAGTAATTTATCATAGTAATTTAATTATCAATTTAATCATAGTAATTTTACACTACAACAAGTATCTATTATTAAGTATACACTGTTACCACTAGCCCTAGAGAGATCCTCAAGCTGATATCTGTGAGCTCTTTTAATACAAGAGGTGTGAATTTGAGGTAAAACCCACAAAATACCCTCAGCTCTACAGGGTGCCTCGGGTTAGCACCGCGGTTGGAACCAACCATCTGGACTTCCTTAATGAGTCACAGGTTTGATATCTTTCCTAGCACCTTCAAATCCCGCATCCCTCCTCCCAGCCCAACCATTAACAAATGAAATAACACAACAACAACTGTCATGCTGAGGGGAGTCAGCGTGCTTTTGAGAACTGGCCTATTGCTTAGTAGCAATATCTGACCAGGAAACAAACCATGTTTTTTTTCATCATTTTTAGTACTACATAAAGTATTACAGAATACTAAAAGATAGAAATACAGCAGTTGGAGCTTAGATTATAGATAATTACAGAAACTTCATACCACACTGTAGAAATTGTATATGTTCTTATAATTCTACTACAGTTCTTTTTGCAAGGGACAAATCAGTCAAACTGACTCAAGTCCAAATGAGTCAAACCTTTTGTAGCACCTGTGCTACATGTTATAAGCTGAACAGAGATCGCTCCAACCCAACAACAGGTATCGGTATTGGCCAATATCAGCAAAGAAATAAAAACAATCCCTTTTTATCTCCATTATCATGCAGAAATGGCAGACATGCAGAAGATGATACTTTCTGAATTTAATGTCATTGAATATGGAGGAAATGAGAACATGGATGTGTCCCAATTGCACACTTAATACTAACTAGTTTTTGAGTATGTAGTATGAGTTACAGGGAACAAAGTAAACTCAAAAATCCACAATGCATACTTAGAACCATTTGATTTTTGAGTGCGGTATTGTTGGACACAATTGTTCCAAAATAGGCAGGAGTTTCTCATGTCTGGAAAATTTTGAAAAAATTAGCAGACCGCGGTGCAACTGCGGCAGTAGCAGCACCAGAAACGGTTTATAAATGTGATTTCTGAACCCAAATCTGCAAAACTATCTTTAAAAACAATTATATTCTACTTATAAATGCATCTGTCCATCAGCGTTTTTGTAAGAAATGTGTATGTAAACATGATAAATTGTTAGCTAGCCTCTCTAGCCACCTAGGCATAGCCTATACGGCTAACTAGCTAATGTCAGCTAATAACAGTTAATTTTTAATTTAGCCTTATTTGTAAACGAGGCAGAATGACAGGGGTTATTATTTTGGGGTTTAAAATCACATATACGTGATATATAAACTCATTGTTTATTGACTCACGAGACATTGACTCGTGAATTGATGAATCGTCAAATTCGGTTCGAAAGAATCGGTTCGGCAAAACAGAATCGAACTTTGCGCGCTGAAGAGGCCTGCGCATGGCGATGTGACGTCAGCAGCCCCATGGCTCCAGTTAGTTAAGGTGGTTACGGGGGAGAACAGACGCACACGGGCTGGCAGAACCGCTGGAAGAGGAGCGAGCGGCCTCACTAAAGAGGAGACTCCGCAGAGCAGGGATGTTTTATGGTGGAAAATCTCCTGCGGCGAAGACTGAGAGGGAAAAAATATATCATAAAATAAAATCCACCGGCCTCCCATCACAAACGACAGTTTTAGCATTCACACTCGGGCTCTGAGGCCATTTGGCGCCGGTGGAGGTGTGAAACGCACATGTGTGGAAACTGTTTGGTAACTCCTGCACGACGGTGCTAAACGGTGGTGAGTGAAAAGGGACTCGCCTTTGATGTAAAACGGCCATTTAAAATTCAGCACAATAAAAAAAAAGAAAAATACAGCAGGAGATAAACGCACATAACAAAAGTGGCACTGAGGATTTTGCAAATAACGAGGAAAGGAAAACGATTCAAAAGCAGCCAATTCTAAAGGGCTGCCGTGTTCTTTCAGCCAAAGACAGCACGCCCTCTCAATAACAACTACAGCAGCTCCTGGATCCGACCACGCCTGTTTGCATCCATTCTACTGTACCGTTACTGCACAGCCATCAGGCCAGACTACAGGACTGATCACAATACCACACAAATACAGTTAAATATACAAGCATGGGAAAAATTACCGACACATGTCTGAGATTAATGGACGATAAACAGGCAGTTAACAGGTAGACTACATGCAATCACTGTATCGACTCAGATTGATCCCATTGACGCAAACTAGCAAATTGTCTCTCCAACCTCTACCGCAAAAAAGGGCTTTTTCTTTCCACACGCAGCTCCATCACAGGGCCCAAACCGAGCACGCCCGTCAGCCTGGAGTCTTCTGCAAACCGTGAGTCATTTTATTCGCACTTACCTATCGAAGAATAAGCAATGAACTTCACCGCGTTACAGCAGGCAAACGAGAAGGCTGGCCGAAGCAGCGGAATCCGCACTGCCTCCTTCTCTCTCCCCAAGCAGCGTTATGGGCTTTTTTCCCACCTGTATTCCGACAAGTCTCGCCCTCCTGTGCTGTGATTGGCTAGTCCTATCGGGCCTCCTGCGCACTGATTGGCTACTAGTTCTCACTCAACAGAGCCATGTAGAGATAGCGCTGGTAATCAGTGTTGGTAGAAACTGATACATCTGCTCGTGAATATGAACTACTAGCCAATCGTAGCGCAGGAGGGCGGGGGTTGTCGGAAAACGGGTGGAGAAAATAATAACGCGTCTCAGCAGTGCCACTGCTGCACTGAGCGGGAAGGGGCGGGGCTAGACAGCTAACTACAGAGCTGGACCCGCTGGTCCAGTCCAGGTTAAATACACAACGAGCAGCTTGCAGCTGGGGTGAGGATTGGTCAGTTATAAATAGACTAAATACTGTATAACATAGTTTATATAATAAACTAAATTTAAAATAAAATAAAAAGAAATAGAGAATAAAGAAGGAATAAATAACAACAATACTATGTATTATGTTGTTGTTGTTGTTGTTATGAAAGAGTATTACATTAAATAGAACACAAGTGCAAGAATGCCCACTGATTTTTACCATATGTGCACAGATATGTTACACTATGCACAGATTGAAGACCGTAAAGAGGAGAATGAGTGTAGGTCCACTCTCTCCATTAAGCTTTCAAAGCTCCTGATTGTCCTAAATCAGCTGACCAGCTTGAAGCTTGTGTTCATGGACCGTGCATCCATAATGCATTCATATTTCATGAGACATTGCTCTAACGTATAGAGCAGCAGTGGACTTCTTAATGGGTTGACCAAGGCAAATGGCTATGTGAGCCTGCCCAACAACTGTTTACTCTTACACATGGGCGCCATGTCCATGGGGGGGGGGTGCTGCCCCACCTGATTGTGATGGTAATTTTATATTATGAGTCAAACGTATTCTTCTATGTCATAAATCATACCTCAAAAAGTCACACACCCCTATTTCTACAGTACTGGCTTCTTCCCAAAGTTGCAGGATGAACAGCAGGTACAGAAACACACAGCACTCTGTGCTCATCAGAGCTGAACTATTGATGAATGGTGTGTTGCTGAAGTGGTTAGCAGAGTGGTTAGTCAGCAGTTTTTTCAAACGAGTGAAAATAAAATTCAGTTAGTTATAAACACTTAAGTGAGTTTGAAAAATATAGGCATGGTTTGCTTTGCAAGATAGTTGGCTATGGCTGGTACCCATTAAAGTTAGTAGCCGTCCATCAGTTCGGTTGTTTAGTCCTCTGGCTCTCTAGGTGCTTGTGATAGCATCGAATCCTGTTTAATATTGGCAAAGGAGAGCTGTGTGAGTCTTATGGCAGTAAGCAGTCTCACCTGTACGCTCACCTGTACTCTCATCTGTACTCATGCTGCTTCCTATGCATTGTGTTTGAAAACACAGCTGTTACCATGTTGGCAGATCCCCTTTGTCTGTGGCTTTATTATCAATAAATTCACTTAGATTGTGGATATAGTCTTTATATGTGAATTTATGCCCCTTTTTGTGTGAAGGAGACAAGATTTATCTTTTTTAAGAAAAGTGGCAGCACTATAAGCTAGTGAAGAAGTAAGTGAATAAGTGTCATTTTCAACCATAACAGCACAAATAATTGACATGAAAATCCCTAAATACATATACAATATATACCCTAACATAAAGTGTGAGATTACTGAGATAGAAAAACTGATACTGAAGTTTTACAAGTCTTTAAATATGTATATATGTCAACTCCAATTCCAAATCCAGGACTCTGAGCATAAACACTACATTACATACAAGTGCAAATAATGGAAAAGTTCAGTCAGGAATACAGTTTTAACTTGCAAAGCGCAGCTGCTTGCTGTGAAAAGAAACCATATATACAATACCAGGCAAGACCACATAAGGGGAATACACATAAAGCTATGAATCTGTGCAGTAAGAGTTTATTTTTATAGTAGAGTAAATACAAATAAACATGAATACAAGAAATTACCATCTATCTATCAGTGTATTATTTTGTCCTTTGGTGTAATAATAATAATGACACGCAGCATCGTTTGTGTCAGGTCACTGTGGTGGCTAAACCTAAAGTGGACTCTTGTGCTGGGTTTGGCTGAAGGCTCTTCCATCGTCCACATGTTGGGCCTTTTATCCCTGTTGGGCCCCACCCGAGTGAGCAGGGACCCTCTATACCCCCTCGGTTTTCTCAGTGGGGCTGTAGGAGCCCCTGGCGTCAGGGCCTGGCTGAGTGAAGAGGGTGGAGAAGGACCCTGTGGACTCACACATCTGCAGAGGGGAGAGGGAGAGAGAGAGGGGTATGCTGGGAAGAGTCCAGCCCCTCCACACTCTGGAATGTGCCGGGCCCCCTCGCCCCCCTCTGAGTCCACACAAACGCTCCGTGACGCTGGAGAGAGAGAGAGAGAGAGAGAGAGAGAGAGAGAGAGAGAGAGAGACAGCGTTTGTGTGAAAGACAGTGAGAGAGAAGGAGAAGTGAAAGGATTGAGAGGAAGGAAGAGAACAAAACAAAGAGAGGGAGAAAAAGAGGAGTGATAAAGAGAGAAAAAGAGAGAGAAAGAGAGCATGAGAGAGAAAGAGGGGTGATGAGAGAGAGGAAGGGAGGGGTAGAGAGAGAGTAGAAGAGAAGGGAGGCAAACATAAAACAGATTTAAAGCAGAGCAGGCAGTACTGAAGGGGTGTGTTGGTGGGTGGGGTTGGATGCAGCTGTGGTGTGTTCGTCTCACAGTTCACAATTGGCCAGAAGTCATTCCAGATCACGTTTACTCTCCACTGTCAGACTTTATGAGAGAAATTTGTGTGTGTTTGTATCATGACAAACAAAACTCTGATTTAATGCACAACACCACCGTTCACAGGCGGTTTATGTATCATAACACTAACTGTAATGCAAAACGGTTTGTGTTTCCTTTTCAGTATGACAGAGGTTTGGTTTACTGCAGCTTTAAACACTAAGAGTTGGACTTCCAACTCTGATAAGAATCAGAGTTTACTGCCGAAGTCATTATACAAGAAAATTGATAGATCAGATTTTTTTAATAGGCCTACTAAGTAATACCTTTCTCAGTTGCCAGCTGCCCTTTATACTGTATAACTTACACTATGTGTCCAGAAGTTTGTAGACGCCTGCTCATCCAAGGTTTCTGATTTCAAGGGTATTGATCAAATCCCACCCCCCCCTTTTTGCTGTAGTAACAGCCTCAACTCTTCTGGGAAGGTGCTGGAACATTGTTTTGAGGATTTGATTGCATTCAGCCTCAAAGCATTAGTGAGGTCAGGTACTGATGTTGAATGATTAGTTGCTCCAATTTATCCCAATCACTTCTGCTCCACAGCCCAATGCTGGGAGCTTTATACCCCTCTAGCAGGCACTTGGCACTTTGCATGGTGGGTGTGCTTATGCCAGTGGTCACCAACCCTGGTCTTACCTCCCTACTGAGTCTAGTTCTGCGACACCTACTATAGCTAATTAACTTTTTCAGAAGTCCTTGATTGGCTGAATCAGATGCAGTTGTTTTAGGTAAGAGGAGCAGCCTTTGCAGGTTGGAACTAAACTTTACAGGACAGTTGATCTCCAGGGGGAGGGTTGGTGACTACTGCCTTAAGCTTATGTGCAGCTGCTCCACAGCATCCCATTCCATTGGCGGTACTTTTCTATGGAGATTTTACAAGCTGTGTGGGAAAGGCGCTATATAAATAAAAGTGATGATGATGATGATGCTGTTTGCTCTCAGTTAAATACCTATGTCAGCAATGGAGGCACCTTAAAGCTGAATTCACTAATTAGAAGGGGTGTTTTTAGAGAGGTATAGTATTACGGTGCATAGACCAATAAAAATGGAGGTACATATCAAAAATACAATGGCAAGGATAATCTTGTGAAAAGGTTGAACTGGACTCAAAGGCCCATTAACAACCAGCTCCTGATCACACTGGCAAAGGCCAGCAGGCCATGGAAGTGTGGTGTGTGAATGGGTGGAAGTGGTGCGTTTTTCCTCTGGGGCTTTGGCAAAACAAACTAGATGGAATAAACTGATCAAAAAGAGTCGAACAGCCTTCCAGCATAATGCCCAACATGAAAAATGTGGCTGTATTTTCCTGTAAGCCTTTGTAAAAGCAGCAGGGGTTCTGCAGATGAGGTGAAGATTGTCGAAATTCTTCATTTAAATGCTCCAAAATACTGATGACACTGCAATCACTGCCATTAAATACAGTACATAGAAAGAATGGCTCTCTCCTCAGTACATATCATTTCAGTCATGTGAAGAATGAAAAATGCAGTCATATAAATGGTCTTACTTTTCCTTGGTATGGCTGGTCCTGCAGTCTTCTGGAATCAAACTGGTGAATAAAGGACATGTGCTCCACTAGTTCTTTAGGCTGGCCAAGGGGGCTCAGAGTCGGAACTGCAAAAATCCAAAAACCAAGTGGAGTAAATTTTCTATTAAAAGACAGATAGATGGTTCTAAAATCTGACTACGTTTGCTGCAAAAATTGCATTTTGAAACATTAATGTGGCTTTTAGTTTGGGCCTCTGTATACAAAGAGAGTGGAGTCTGGTCCTGTAAGAGTGGAAATAACTGCCCAGAGGTGTTTTCAAGTGGACAGACCTATAAGGACTTTGCCTGAGCTGAAAATGTGATGGACGTAGCAGCAATAACTAAAGGAGGAGGGACTTTCTTAGAATTTTGCAAACTGTCAAATTGATGTTGAGGATGTTGATGAAGTTAAAAAACAAAGAATTGTTATGTAGGTATGTAAAGACTTGCGATGTTACATAGAAACCATAGCCTTCTGTGAGCGAACTACTTTGATTGGTGGAAGAAAATCTTCTGATTATTAATAAAAGGTGAAATCATTTATCTAAAATCTGCATTTTATCATACTATGGTTTTATTAATGTTTCATAAAAGGAATAAGCTTAATAGTTTAATGAAGTTGCTTTCTAACAAACAGTAAACATACATATATCATGCCAAATATGGTACGATTTTTAAATTACCAGTGTAAATGGATGTTTGATTAATTAATAATCACACACCACACACCCCACTCACACACAGCTTACCAATTCCTGTTGCTGGGTGTCTGTTTCTTCCCTCTTTAAATCTGATGACTGGAGTGCATGCAACGGCTTGGTAGTCACGTCTCTGAGTGCTGTCTTTACTGTAGACTGTTTTTCTAGCCACATCTCTGTCCAGGCTATTCGACCACCAATTAAACTGTTGGGAATCACCACAATATAGCACAAAAGCAAATGAATCAGAATCAGCATATAAATAACTTCTAAAAATCAAACTGCAGTTCAAAGTAAATTGTACAGCCACCTGTTCAGCCACCGTACTGTCCGTTTCCATATGAGCAACGGGCTCATTGAGGAATCTCACGTTGGTCCTGATGAACTTGGCATTGTAAGGCTGCGGGATGTTGTGTGTCTTCAGAAGTTCTGTTTCTCCTGCATCTCTGGCTGCATATTTATGGTCCCTGTAGACTTCGTCTGGTTTTAATCGTTCCGGGACATTTTCATCAAATACCCTGTAGGTGTTTGAACTGCAGCACAGAAAGCAGCAGAGAGACAGAGCTGGGATCCTTCCTTTAGTAAATAAAAGCCTTTAATTTTGGCACATGGATCACATATTGCATCAGCGACTTGACTGGTTATTCAAATTGATAAACCAATCATAAACAAGCAGATATAAAGTAAGGTTTGACTGTTGCTTTGACTGTGATACATATAGACCTTACATTTATCCTATTTTAATGCAAGTTGGAGTTTTTTCTGGCTCAAACTGTAGCAAATATGAGATTAACAGAGCTCTCGTGTTCCTGTAAAATTTCTGACCAATAAACAAACTTGTGTGTAATTTGGTGCACTTTAGCCATTACACTGTGAAACCAACCGAACCAAATGAAAAAGATACGATGTCATTAAAAAACCCAAACTCTGGTTTAGACTTGATGAAGTAGGTGTGCATACGTTTAAACAGTGTAGTCTAATCCAGTGTTTCTCAACACTAGTCCTGGAGGCCCACTGCCCTACACACTGTAGTGCTCCTCCTGCTTTAACATACCTACATGAACTCAATAATGGGCTGTTAATGAGCTGAATAGTTGGATCTGGTGTGTTGGCAGCAGAGAAAACACTAAAAGGTGCAGTGCAGTGGGCCTCCAGCATCAGGGTTGAGAAACACCAGTCTAATGTACTCTGAACAGTCTGCCAGTCAGTCCTTTAGAAAAATGTGTTACTGCGTGTCGATTATTTAGTGTACCAGACACTGTTAGTGCAAGTGTTGTTTTCACAGTGGTAGAATTTAACAGGATTTAGCGTACTGTGTAATGGACAGCGTTGGACGTAACATGATACAAAATAATGTGTTACAGTAATGCGATTTCTTTTTCCTGTATCAAAGTAACGTAACAAACATTGCAGTTTAAACTTGTGTGTGTAATTTGCACTTATGTGTACTCTTGCGTCAGCTGAGTGTGTGACTCTGATTGTGAATATGAGCGGCTAGCGCAGAAATCGCTGTAAACTATCAATTATTTTTCTAACTTGCCCTCACCCAATTCAACTTACCACTCGGACGTGCGTCACTCTTGCAGTGTCCACTCGCAGCAGAAGTGGAGGAGGGTTAGCCTCAGTGAGCTAATCAGCTAGCCATGCTAACTTTGCAATGTAACACATTTTTAAAGCAGTTTGAACATAATGTAGCTACATAATGTGTGTGAGAAACTGCTTTGTCTGGCTGTAACTTTGGAGTAGAACCCTAGTGCTTCAGCTGTGTAGCGTTTAGCATGCTAATGAGCCAGCTAGCACAGAAAAGTGACGAGGTTGAATCAGCTGTCATGAATAACAGATGCAGTAGCTTCAAACCTAGCAAATCAAATGTTATGGTATGAAATGTTAAGCACTTTAAAGTAGTTTAATTCTATGGCTTATAAAAAGCTTTGTCCGCCATTATTTTAGGGCTTGAAAAGGGAAAATGCTTCAGTTCAGTGATTTCTGGGTCAGTTCTGCTGCTGAAGTCGACACTGGTGTTCACTCAATTCTCACCCCTCTGAGGGCTCATCTAACACCCTTCACTTCAGCTAATGAAGGAATGGAACCGTCCTAAAGATGGTGTTGGGGATCCCCCTGGAGGGAAATGATGAGGCCAAGTGGACGAGGGCTTGTTAAAACCAGTACTGAAACAAGAGGTCAGTGAACAAGCTGTGGAAACATCTCATCACGCTTATATGAAAATGACAGATAAAGATCCTCTTGCTGAAGAAGAGAGAAACCCAACCTGACCTAAACAGGCCAGACTATATTTTCACTCAGAAGCAGCTCTGTAAGCTTTACAGTTTATTCCTAAAAAAGATTTTATTTCGAGGAAGCTGTTTTAGAACTGCTTTCAAATCTGTTTATAATTTAATCAGCATTTCTGGCTGTGGGTTGTTCAAACGCAGGTATACTGACATATTATTAAATGATGTTTACTGTGATTGCTCGCTTTTCTCTGAACAAATAACTGAAAAAGACTATGAGGTTTTCCCTTGTAGGCCTAAAGTTGGATGCATGCATGCTCACCTCCTTCAGTTGTGCTACAAAAGTCTCTAGAATGAGATTTTCTGGTTTAAGGACTTGGGAAACCCTCTTCTGATGATTTTAAAGGTGGGTGGGCCTTTCAAAAAAACTATGACCGCTTCTGGGCAGGGACTCGAGTGTGGACTGTTTGAAATGTTTGTTTTTTTCTTGTTTTTTCTGCTAGTTGGCTAATACAGAAGAAAGACAGATAGCTAACTTACTGCTAGGAGCGAACTGTATTTATTAGCCTCTATAGCTGTGGCTGTGATGTGTGTCTTATTTGCGTAGTGCATGCTGGGTGTTGTAGTAAGAGAACACTGATGGATGAAATCACAGGATGATATAAAATCGTGAATTCTGTCAAACCTCTAAGAAGGTGGCAGATTTCATGGTAAAAGAACTTATAAAATTATTAGATTACTTTTCTGCCATAAACATCCCAAAATGTCTAATTGGCTTATGTTTTCACATGATATGACAAAATACAAGATGTTCACCAGATGTTGGTCCAAAGAGCACAATTTAGAAGTAGGCCTGACTAGCTGTGTTGGAGTCTGCATGAAAAGTTCCACACTCGCCCGAAAGCTGTGTTAAGTAGGAGAGCAATGTGCACTTTAACTGAGACTAAGGCCCAATCCCATTTCCCCCCTCGCCCCTACCACTTAGCCCTTAGGCCTCTGTTTTGCGCATTCAAGTCTAGGGGTAGGGTGGCCCAGTTTTTGTTGAGATAGAGGGGTAGGGCGAAGTGTTAGGGCTACATGGCCCTCCAAACGGAGGTTTTTTCAGAGGCACACTCCAAACAGAGTGTTATGAGAAAAAAAGCGACCAAAGAAACCCACAAATGTAAGTATTTTCTCCGTAAAAATAACCATTGTATTCATTGTAACATGTATGTTTAATGTCGTTTAAGCGTATTATGGTCGTTTTCTTCATACCAAGCATAAAAATCGCTAATAGTATGTTAATGTCTCGGTAGCTAGCTAGCTAACTTTCCCGTTCCACCTTAAATAGTCCAACAGTACTGACGCCTGAAGCGCCAGAACATAGATATACATACCTTACATACATACATTGTTCGAAATGGCGCAGCGTCAGGCACCAGAAAGTAACTGCCGCACGATTTAAGGTGGAACGGGAAAACTCGAACAAAAAGCTGGCGAATAAGAAGCCAACTTCAGCTTCGTCCTTCTTTCTGTATTTTGGGGGTTTATTTTATTTGTGTGTATTAAGATAAGAAGTGATTCACACACTGATGGATTTGCTGATGTGTGTGAGGTTGTGTTTCCACCGGAGCGCTAAACTCGGTTTTTAATGTCAGGTGCGAACTGAACGCTTTTCTGCTGGTCCGGGCGGCTAATTATCACGATCAGTTATTAAAGAAATAAAAGCTACGTGCAACGTAAATCCGTGCAACCTACATTAATCTATGTCTGAAGATTATAACAAAACAAATTGGGTGAAAATCCGTTGAGTAATAAGGAAGTCGTGGCCGATTTAATCCTGAGACTCTTCAGCTCTCAATAAGAGTGAATTTGTGCACAAGCGGATCTTGACCGCTCCAACATGGCGGACGCGCGGACGTATCACCTCACATAGAGAACAACAGGCAACGCGGCAGCTAGGTATGTACATCTATGCGCCAGAACGTAACTGCTGCACCATTTAAGGTGGAACGGGAAAATTCGAACAAGAAGCTGGTGAATAGCTGACTTCAGCTTCGTATCGCCAAAGAATTAGGGGTGGGCAATAATGAACCCTGTCGCATCTCCCCTCTTTGAAACCATATGATGCCCTAAATGTAACTAAAGCCCAGCAGCGAGGTTTTACTTCACCCTCCTCTGCTATCACTGAAGACGGGCCGGGTCGCCTACAGAGCACCGCTAGTAGCCTGATAATGAAATGTATTTTAATTTGAGGGTGGTCCCATTTCCAGGGGAAGATTTTAACCACTACCCCTTGTAACCCTTGTAAGTTCTAAGAGGTTAGGGTGACGCTCGAAAACAAGGGGTAGGGGTAAAAAGAAGAAATGGGATTGGGCCGAAGTGCGCAGAATAGTGCTTGATTTCAGATGCAGTATAAGAGTGGACTACGTACCGGTAGGAGTCCAGTACCTTCTTCTTTCGAGGCAGACATATCTCTGCACGCTGATACATCTCAAGAAGATAAAGCTGATTCTTTTCTATGTTGCTAATTTGCCTTTTGACAACCTTTTACCACTCTTTCTATAGACTGACGGTAGAAAAGACAGACTTTAGACCTGAAAACCCAAGGAAAGTGTTCAGTGTCCTATTGAGGGGGCGACGTACTGGTCCTGTTTTTGTTCTGCAGTAGGCTCCATTGTTTGGGGGTTGCTGAGCAACCAGGACAAGCTGAAACTTGACCCTGGACCGGCCAGATGTATCATGCTGATAAAAAATTGACCTGAAATTAAACATGAACCTTACTGAGCACAGCAAGAAAATAAATTTGATTTCCTTTCGCACAGGAAGCTTGAGATTTATGAGGAAAGGATGTGCAGTGGCCATGGCAGGCTGGGCCAATAGGCCTACTCGGTGTAACATGATCCACCTCAGCCTAGACATCAGTGAATTAGCGCACAGCATCAGTGAAACTATGTCAGCCTGGAGAAACGACACCTGCATGACTCTAAAATCACAATCATACCAAATTAAATTAGAAAATTATAGCTTTTATTAACTCACTGCTTGTTCAGCTTGCCTGCTAATGGTACTGCAAAGGGTTTTATGTCCCACACTGCAAAAATTATACACTGGCAGGTGAAAGCATCTTAAATGCAGGCGATATATCTAACATATCTAATATAATATAGAGACTACATGGACTTTATTTATGTCATTTCCTATCAAATGGCCATTACGTGCAAAGTTATTCATTTTTCAGCATCAGCAAAAAGCAGAAAACAAATATTTAACATTTCACATTTTCACAAATTATACAGAAGCTTCATCAATTAAATATGATTTCAAATATTTTCAGTGTTTAATGTGTCCACTTGCTACCTTTACAGCTTCTGTTTTTTTCAGTTTTTCAAATAAATCTACAGGGATGTTTTACACCTCCAAAGTTCAGTCCTAGAAGTTGGTTCCATTTTCTGCTTCTCATAATGCCAATAATCCCAAACACATTCAGTGATGTTGAGGTCTGGACTCTGGAGTGGTCTGAGAACAGCAGCAGCTTCTTTGTTTGATTTGCTAATGTTCTTCTTTTCTGTTCCTTTTCTCAGTGAGGCTTCTTGACATCTACATATCCATTCAGGCCCATAGTGCTGAGTTGTCTTCTCACAGTGGAAGGATGAACAAAAAAACTTGTGGATGTTTTCAGATCTGAAGCAGCTTGATTTTCTCCTCTCTCTCAAAGATGAAAGCTTCAAGTGCTGTTTATCTGATTGGGACAGTTTTGGTGGTCTATCAAGGCTGCGTTCAACCCCCAAAAAACGTAGCAAAACATTTGTTTAAACCAAAACAGTGGTGAGTTGAATTTTGTGTTACGTAAGTGTTGGAACTACAGCAGCTGAGAAGGCCATCTTTGGGCTTTTTTCGAAGAATTTTTGGCTCCTGATGAAATGGTGAAACATGTTTTCTGACGTCTTCAACTGACCACATTTGTAGAGGACTTTATTAGAATCCTTTGTGTGCTCTGCCTTTTTAATATGGTGGGGCTTATATACACATCACTGCTGATTGGGTAACACCTATGACACCCATCCAACAAGAGAAAGAGAACTTCAAAGCCCACTCCACACCGTTTCGCACCATTTCGACAAAACACGTTGTTCAACCCGGAAACCGTAGCAAAACGGTGCACAACATATCAAGATTGAATGTGCCCCAGGTCTTGCACTGTTGTTAGGAGTCCCAATTTCTAGTTTTCTGTTCATAAATATCTGTGAAAAAATGAAAATCTGGTACTTATAGGCTGTTTAGACTGAAAATGGAACTTTTCTGGCTTTTTCACAGTATTGCAGTAATGCATTCTGCTTAATTTAAGTGATCTTATCAAGTGAAATTATCTTGCTCTCACATAAATTTTGCTTATTGTACAAAATAATGCTTGAAGAAAGTAAAATGATTTGCCAGCGCAGAGATTTCAGTTGATAAGATTACACGATTTTTGAAAAGTCTACAAATAATTTAGTTTGAAAAATGCTATGACGTTCTTCAATAATCTAAGAAATGCTAGTATAAGTATGAGTTACTGGCTTGACTATATGGAAGACTGAGAAGCGGTTTGGTGGTCGCCTAAATGTATTAGCATTAATAATAAGCCAGTCACAAATGCATCAGCTTAAACAGGTCTTACTCCTATTGTGTGCCAGTCTGTGAACAGGACATACATTAGCAACAGTGTTTAAAAATAAGAAAAAAAGAAAATATAAAACAAAGCCAACTTTGCTGGGCACAAACAGTTGTCACATGGTATACATACTGGAAATGAATCTCAGCCCCACTGAGGAGGGTGATTGGAAATTTGAAAACAAACCAATTTCCTGTGTTCTTTCACAGCTTCCTGCCTGCTTAGTTTTGATTTGCACTCCTGTTTTTTTCCAAGCTGACACGTAATGTGATTAGAGCTCATTAGGGGATCTGAGTGGAAACAACACAGGGAAGGCCTCGTTCTGCTATAAAAAGACACCATCATTTAGTCATGTGCATTTTCACCTAATCAGCAAGTTAAGTGACAGAAAGGTACTACATGGTGGGCGAAGAATGGATTAGATAAGGAGAACGTCTGCTGGCTGTGTTATCTTTCTTGGGATTAGATGTAGCTGGACAACTTTAAACACACTAATGAAAACAGGCCTGGCAATAGGCGGGGTCCTGCTGAAGACCCTGATCCCATCATCTGACTCTGATCCCTTACAGTAGAATACAGGGGACTTCGCTGCAGCGTTTACTACAATTGACCAAAAAGCTCAGCCTTATATCTGATATTGCATCATTGGTCAAATGATATAAATGCTTGTCCTTTGTGCATAGTGTTCTTCACTGATCTGAAAGGAAACTCCAGCTCCACCTAATTTATTTTTTCTTGAAAGGAAAGACCTACATTTTAAAGGATATAATGTTTCGTTTTCCTTTGCTAATTGCCTTTTTCCCATAATGACAATAGCAATATATTACATTCTGCAGTGCAATATTATCCAAATACTACTAACCCATCTCTTCCAACACTGCTTTTATACAGTATATATTTGTTTGCATCAACTTTCAATGCTTCATTTCCTTGCATTGCTAAAGAACAACTGTAAGCTGTTAACCAATGACCTTTTTTCCTGAAAAGGCCTTTTTTTTACTCTAAAAGTGACCTTATTTTTCAGGTTTCAGTTTTCTTTAACCTTAAACTTACCTCATGAAGTTTACTGCTTACGTTTATGCCATTTCAGGTTATTCACTGGACTTAATCTTCTTAAAAATTAATAAAAACTGGAAAAATTGGGATGTTAAAGTTTTGACTGGTAGTATATGTTAATGTGTTTTTTGACATCACAGAAACAATGGATTTAAAAAAAGCTGTTTTCAGTTTAGTTTGCATATATTGACTGAACAGACTGGAAAGTGAACGGTGCATTTTGAAACTATGTTTACATATTACATCAAACTGACATTTAAAAAAGAACGGACAATTAGATTTTCCATGAAATGGGCCTATTAAAGAGGCTGAACTCTGGATACATAAAAGAAAGGATGGAAAACGGTCATGTAAAAATGAATTATGACTGGTTTTGGAAGATAATACCACAGTAATGTCACCGGACCTCACAAACACAAATACCAAAACATACACTGTATGGACAAAAGTATTGGGACACCCCTCCAAATTATTGAGTTCAGGTGTTTTAGCCACACTCATTACTAACGGGTGGGTAAAATTAAGCACATAGTCTTGCAGTCTCCATAGACAAGCACTGGCAGTAGAATGGGTACTGATGAGCTCAGTGACTTTAAACATGGCACTGTCATAGGATGCCACCTCTGCCTCAAGTCAGTTTGTGAAGTTTCTGTCCTGCTAGATCTGCCCCGGTCAACTGTAAGTGAAATGTACTGTGAAATGGAAGCATCCAGGAGCAACAACAGCTTAGCCACGAAGCTGCATACCACGCAAACTCATTACCTCTTGAAGTAATATCAGCAAAAGAACTGCGTGTTGGGAGCTTCATGAAATGTGTTTCCATGGCCGAGAAGCTGCACACAAGCCTAAGCTCAAAATGCACAACGCCAAGCGTTGATGGAGTGGTGTAAAGTGCCGCTCCCAGACTCTGGAGCGGTGGAAACATATTCTGTGGAGTGATGAATCACGTTTCTCTATCTGTCAGTCTGATGGACGAGTCTGGGTTTGGTGAATGCCAGGAGAACGTTACCTGCCTGACTGCATTGCTCCAACTGTAAAGTTTGGCATACAAAAGAAAGAACAGAGGACTGTCAAGTGCAGTGGGCAGCTAACAGACTCAGTGATGACAGTGCATTTGGACAACAGATAAAAAGCCCAAACACAAAGAGCAAAGCACATTCCAGTGGGGGTCCTGGGCTTTGGCATTTTATATCACATCCGGCCTCCAGCCCAGGCCACTGACAACTGCTGCAAGTTTTTACACTGATCTGAGAACACATTTCTCTTTTCTCCTACTGTGGTTGAGATTGGGGTTGTGATAGCAGAGGCCGGTCCTGGGTCAGTATAAAATGAGCAGCTTTTGCCCAGCGCCTGCCTCCGCCCCACCGTAAGCCTCTGATATAATCTCGCCACTGTCAGCTAAGAGGATTGCGGCCTCCCTGCCAGCGGGCATGCAGATTTACTGCAGCCGAGCATGCTGGGGGAAAAAGGAGGCCCAGAGGAGATTGTCTGTGTCTGTTGCCACGGTTACAGTGAGCGTTCAGCAGGGGGTGACCCCACAGGTGGCGTTCAGGAGAGGCCATGTGTACAGACACAGTGTATATATTAGATAGAATCAGTTCTCATGAAGTTTAAATGAAAAGTGCAGCAAACGGAATAAGCTTCGAGTCAGCGTGAGGAATCCACAGGGGCGGGTTAGAACCACCATGGCAACAGAGCAAAGGAAGCTTGTGACTGGTGGATTTTCCATAAAGTGAACATCTCTTGAAAAAACGCGTTAGACTATATAGCTCCTTGAGCTTCGACAGCTTGTAATTATGTACTAAATAAAAGGAAAATTAATATTATTGCTTATTTATAACAACAACAACAACACTACTAATAATAATAATGATAAGTAAAAACAAATTTATGAAACAAGGACATTTCCTTTAACATTTCCTTTTAGGGTCAATTTTTGACTTTTACAGTCAAGATTATTATTATTATTATTATTATTATTATTATTATTATCATTATTATTATTATTAGTAGTAGTAGTAGTTGTGTTTCATTTTACAATCAATACAGCCAATATAATAATAATAATACAACATTTAATTTATGGTCAATATATTAACAACAACAATAATACTAATAATACGTAGTAATAAAAGATGGACCTTTAAGATTTCCTTTTAGGCTCGGTATAAAAAATAATTTCTTTTAACTTTTTTGGTCACGAATGATTTTTTAATTCACTTTTATGATCAAGATTTACTATTATTATTATTGTTATTATTATTATTATTATTATTATTATTATTGTATAGTGCTACTATTACTACTTACTACTACTAATAATAATGATTACAGTACAAGGACATGCCCATCATTTATTATTATTATCATTATAATTATTATAAGCACATATCCATTTTGGCTAGAGATGCATCTCCTCCTACTCCACACTACCAGCATCAGTATTAGTCACATGCTTTGCAGGAAAACAATCCTCTGTGCTGTAATCGGATAAGGCAGAGAGGACGAGTGTTCATATCTCAGAGCAGCGTTCTGATCTGCCCTGTTTAAACACTGTAAAGCATCACTGTGAGTCTCCTTTAAAAAACAGTTCTCTGTCCAAACGGTATGCGCAGCTTCGTCTGACAATGCTGTCAAATTGACTTAACGTCTGTGTAAAAATGAAAACAGTTTTGTTTAGAATGTTGGATTCAACATAATGATTTATTTCAGGGTGGGAACTGAGAGCTGCTTCAATTATAAACAAATGGTTGGCAAGTCTTTCCTGTCATATTGGCTTTAGTTCAGAGAGAAAAAAAGAAAGTTACATTTAAAGTCACAAATTCAACACAATAAGTAAAAAATACTCCTCCATAAACACTGTTACGTTCATTAATGCATACACTAACCCTGTCAACCCCAGGCTTACAGTAACTATTATGAATTATTCGTAACTACTATAAAACTATTCTGTATTTTATGTAGTTATGAGAGTGACTGACATTAGCACCTACATTAGGGCCCTTAGGGTTTAAGGGGTTAAATATTCGAATAAATACAAAGAGAAAGTAATTAGTTAAGGCTTTTGTTTGAGTAAATGGTTCGCTCAGGCTTAAACGTACCAAATCAAGGGGTGTCAAACAGTCTGGTAATGAATGTGAGGCACTGAGTCAGCAGGTACAATGAATTCTTTATGGCTGCTAACTGAAAGGTTAAGGAGCTCAGTAACGAGTGCTGAATCCGCGAAGCTCCAGCTTAGAAATGTCCCTCTCGTTGGTGAACTCAGCACGGTCAATACGAGAGCTGGGACTGCCCACATATCTCAGCCAGTGCTTCCTACAGCGAGAGAGAGAGAGAGAGAGAGAGAGAGAGAGAGAGAAAGAGAGAGAGAGAGAGAGAGAGAGAGAGAGAGAGAGAGAGAGAGAGATGAACTGAAGCAAATTTCATATAGAGTTGCTGTTACCTTGAACTTACATTAACTGGCCATTTCATCAGTGACAGAGTGCACCTTGTAGGTTTGTGATTACATACTGTAGCCCACCATAGGACCACCACTGATCAGATATTATTTGGGTGGTGGATCATTCCTAGCACAAAGTTGGTGTCCTAAATTGGTCCCTTTCCTATGGATAGATGAGGTACGAGGGGAATAACATATGGTGCAGCAACAGATGGGCTAGAAAAAGATATTTTTTAAAAAGCTAAATTGATATGGGATAAAATTTCAGACACCTCAAATTAATAACATTATAATTATAATACTTTGTTGCACAGCCACTGTTGGCAATTGCAGCTTTGAGACATCTACAGTAAGAAGTAAAATCTTCTTGCAGCACTGTAGTTCCGTTTTGGCCCACTGCTGTTGGCAAGCTGTCTTCCCCAAAGTTATGATTTCAAAAATCTCCATAGATTTTCAGTGGGATTCATATCAGGAGTTTAGACAGGGCTTGCAAGCATCTTCACCTTCTTAAATTATTTTGGTGTTTGTTTGCCATTGTTGTCTTGTTGAAACATCCATCTTCTTACCCCCTTCTTGGCCGATGAGGTTTAACTATGTCCCGTCAGTGAGGTGTTATGCCCCAGTACTGTTTGTAGAGAAGCAGCATTTATCATGATGCTCCCACCTTCGTACTTCGCTGTGGGTTTTGTGTTGTTGGGATCACAGGTGCAAACCTTCTTTCTCCAAACATGACGAGCTGAATTATTGCCAAAGAGTTCTATTTCTTCGTCTGACCGAGTCCACTGTTTCAAAAGAGTTCTGATTTGTCTAAATACTTATGTGCATATTTTAGACACACGTATGTGCTTCTTTAGTTTTGCGCGAGGTGTAGGAACGGAGATGTTTGCGGTACAGTTCATTGCTTAGTGTTCTCTATGTAGCTGTTGCTCCTGCTGCTTTCACATCATCAAGTTCAGATCTTTTCAAGTAACTGACGGCTTCTTTCTTAAATTCAGTATCATTAGCCTGAGAGAAATATTGCATAGTGCACCTGCCTAAGGATGATTAGTGATGGGTCTCTGAGCTTTACAACTGCTAGTGCACTGTAGATTTTTCAATTTGAGTGTTGTTTAATAATGATGTTCCTAGGACCTTTTGGAAGCTCCTCTTACTTACTTTTATTTTTAACCTTTACACACACACACACACACACATATATATATATATATATATATATATATATTTATATGTACACATACACATACATTTTTTATCCATATTTATAAGAACAACTTTTTCTTTTGGCGTATCTGTACAATAGACTCATGTCCACTAAGAGTGTATCTAATAATTTGGCATAACAGTTTAATAACCTGAAAAAATGCTTGATTTGCTGTTAACTAACAAAAACTATTATCCATATCATCTAGAATTATAATAATAATAATAAGAAGAAGAAAAACAGAAAGTAACAATAATATTTAATACCAATTAAGCACATGGCACTTCAGTACAAAAGTGGGTGTGCTTATTTTACATGCACATTGGTATGAACCAATGCTGCAACTCAGGTCAGTAGGTAGAGCAGCACACTCACTGCTCGACTTCAGACTCCTCCTACAGCAGGTGTATCAAACTCAACCACTAAAAGGGCCATATTAAAAAATCTAAGCAAATCTGTGGGCCAGAGAATGCCTATGTTTTCATTTTTTTAATAAACATGTTGCTATGACCCTAACTGACCATTGTTTATTCAAAATATGCAAAAACTGCAAGAGCAAAATATAGACTTCCCTATTCGCCTATTTGCTTGAGTTACATCTTTTCTTTTTGTGGTGTGACTGATTTCCCATTGATTGTTGGAGGAGGAGGGTTGGATTGCGCATTACGTTGCAGTGCATGCTGGGGATTGTAGTGCAGCGCACTGTGAAACAGGCTAATTTTAATAGAAAATAAAAAAATAATAATCATAATAGAAAATTAAAATAATTTTGTGGGCCAGATAGGATTGTGCCACGGGCCCGACATGGCCCACGGGCCTTGTGTTTGACACATGGGTCCTACGGGCACAGTCATTGGCTCATGAGCCGCTGAATACTGAGGTTTTATTGTCGCCCTACCAGAACATCTGCATGAATTAGGGCGTGCCTCATGTAAATGATATGTAAATGAGACACTAATAGGCTGGTGCTTGATTTGTGCTCTCGTTTCCATGTCTTAAGAAAGTTTGAATCAGACGCAGAGTAGTTTGTACATCATAAAGACGATCCAATGTGGCTTTGATGACTGAGGGCCTCTACGTGGGTAAAATTGTGGTGGATATATGCTTTGGAAAAACAGTACATGACAAAAACAAAAGTGTCTGAATATTGTTTCCCCTCACTGTATATGGCAGGTGTTTCTGATAAAATGGCCGGTTCTTGTGCATACGAGGACAGTATACCTACATAAACAGCAACTGCAAACAGCAAACTGCATTGTACTGTAGTGTCGTGATGCATTACAACAAATGGATATTCAGATTGCTCAGTACTGTATTCCATTTAGACGTTATTGACAATGTAGGAAAGTTACTTAATTGCTGCCATAAGCTGAGCACACATTCATCGTTCTCCACATTCATCAATGCAGGCATGGAAGGCAAACCTAACAAAATCAGCTAAGTCAGTAAACGCATCACAGGAGTCTAAGAAATCAGATTACACATGAAAGCATTTCTCTCTCTCTCTCTCTCTCTCAGAGTGGGCATGGACAGGCAGAACTGCTCATGCAGTTATTCCTCGGAGGACCTCTAAATGCATTATCCTGCATGGTGGGCCATAGAGGCAGGCTCTTATTGGCTGTGTGTGTGCAGCAAGGCCCTGTGCATGACTGCCTCTGATTCACTCAGCTGACGGCACTATCGGGAAGAAGGGTTGCACTCAAACAGAAGGACAAGAGAAAAGCTGATTAGGAACAGAGATCATGCATTTCATAAACTTCTCTATATGATCATCAAAGAAAAATATTTGGATCATTGTTTTCATTAATATATAAACAGTACTGTTTCAGAAGCATGTATGAAATGATTCTAATATGATGCCAGGTCCCATGCACCTTCAAATATTTAGCTTAAAAGCTAAAAAAAGCTGATGATGCTAACTGACTGGGGAAGCTGTATAACACTAAATTAAGTTAGAACAAGATTAATATCCAGAACAAGGGATATTTTTCAATGCCTCCAAAGTTCAGTCTTAGAAGTTGATTGAATGTTCTGCTTCCAATGATTCAAATAATTCCAAACACAATCAGTTATATGAGGTATGGACTGGGGTGGTCAGTCTGTTCTGAGAGAACCAGCAGCTTTTGTTTGATTTGCAGTTTTTCTTTTTTTGTCTGTTTCCTTTTCTCAGTGAGGCTTCTTGACAGCTACTTTCAGACTCATAGCGCTGAGTTGTCTTCTCACAGTTGAAGGACGGGCAGAAAGACCTGTGGATGTTTTCAGATCTGAAGCAGCTTGATTTTCTACTCTCTCTCAAAGATGAAAGTTTTAGGTGCTGTTTATCTGAGGGGGGCAGTTTTGGTGGTCTACCAGGTGCAGCATGGTTGTTAGGAGTCACACTTTCTCTGTAGCTTTTAATCATTTTTTTGAACTTCAGTTTTGGTGCATGCCGATCAGTTTGTTTTGTCCAACTGCACAAGTTGTGACTGCAGAGGGGCGAGTATCAGTAAATATCCACATCACTGGGTAGCACATAGTTAATATCCAGGAAGAAGTGATGAGAAAAGAATGTGTTTAGGTGCTCTGGGTGTGATGGATTAGAGAGAGCTGTGGTGCACGTAGGGTTATCTGAAAAATGCTCAAGATCACAAGCCCAAACCCCAGCTGTTAGCTTTCAATCTGACAGCGTTACGTCACTGATATAAATCACTGATCGGGCGGGGTCCACTCAGAAGAGGAAACCCGGCCCTGAGAGCAGAAAATATGAGCAGTTTATCTTTCACACTAGGATGGTTTGTTATTCCATTTGTGTCCGTTAGAGGAATGGCAGACGGAAGCGATCAAATGAGCACTGAAAATGGAGGACTGGACACATGGTTGAACTTGGTGGGCAATATGACGATATGTTATTGGTATAGTGATACATTATGTCACAATGCACTTTTCAGAGTATAGTCAGTGCTCCGAGAACACTGAACAACTACATGGATCATAAAGGAAAACATATTTCGACCAATTATAGGGAGAACGTAAACAATAACAATAGGAACAGCATAAATCTGCAGTGTCAAACCCAACAACTAAAAGGGCCATATTACAAAATCTGAGAAAATGCTTGGACCAGCTGTGTTTTTATTTCATTTTTACTTTTTACTTAACATTTTGCCATATTTCCCACCGTTGTTTATTCAAAATATGACAAAACTGCAACAGCAAAACAGGCATTGAATACTTATTCAAAAATAATTCTAAATAAAAATATATTATTTTACGTAGTTTTTTAAAAACCGCCTATTTGTGTGAACCAGACAACAGGCATGTTTTCTTTTTGTGTAACTGCTGGCCCATAGATCGTTTCTGGGGAAAGGGGTGTTGCAGTGCATGCTGGAGACTGTAGTGGATCTCAGGGTGAAACGGGCTAATATTAATAGAAAATGAAAATTATTTCACAGGGCCGCACAGGAACGTGTCATGGGCCTGGCTTGGCCTGCGGGCCTTGTGTTCGACACACAGGGCATAAATAATAAAGCAGAAAAGGAAACAGACATATTAACAACAAAAAAAGAGAAAAGGACTTTGGCCAAAATTAGCATACGGCTGCAGTCTTACTTCTTAGATGATAGTACTGGAGGTTAAAGTTTTACTGTTCAAAAATAGCCGAGGGGGAATTGGTAGGTTTTCATGTTCAATAAGGAA